ATTCAGTGTGCATTAATTAATATACATCTCAATCTTATATTAAATCCAGCGAGTGCAGGGAAAGAACGATTTTGTTGAAAGGTTTAAAAATTTTACTAAATACATATCTGAAAATAAGTATTTGTTAAATCATCAAAATAATTTGCTGGAATGTTAAAACTGATAAACGCTATAAAATAAATTGCTATAAAATGTTTTGTTATTTGAGCAATCATTTTGACTTTCGCACAAAATTATTTTGATTATTGAAAAAAATTATTTTCAGATCTGATGGATTCAGCAAAATTGTTCTTTCGTGTGTTTATAAATTTTTTTCTGTTGGTTATATTCTTCAAATTGCTTTAAACTTTTATAGACGTGATAGACTGTCGCGAGTTTCTCTCCCTTTACCGCGAGGAGTTGGCAAGAATCGGCGTTATGCCAAAGTTACGCAAATAGGACCAGCGGGACCGTCGTTTTGCGACGGGTGCGGCGCGACAAAACACTTCACGCGGTTTTTACCTTTTATTACGAGGCATTTCCGGAAGATATATGTATGCGAGGGGGAAGATCTCTCTCTGTTTCTCTCTTGGTGCGCGAGAAGCGTGGCGTCGGAGGGTTTGCGAAGCGTGACAAGAAATGTCACATGCTTCGGAAAGCATAACTACGTGAGGCCCGGTCGCATGCCGCGTTATACGTCAACACACACACACGGCATACATGAGATAAGAGAGAAAGGGAGAAAGAGTGAACGTCGAGAGCCCTCGCGATGAGCGCGAAAATATTGAGAAGAGATATCGCGCCCGTTGCGTGATGCACGAACGCGCGCGCCTCTGATTCGAGACGTATAAACAGCCTGTGGATCGATGCGATCAAACAAAAAAAGCATGCAAAAAAAGTTCAGCGTTCTCGCGCGGAGGTGTAATACTCTTGTACGCAGCTGATACAGGATTACGTTCTGCGCGAACATGGTGGATTATCATCGCGAGTAAAAAGATGTAATCTTTTACACGAGAAGGAGTAAAGCCGCGAGTTACCTCGATACGTTCCGCATGCGCGTCGGAGGTTTGTATAATGTCATCAGGTCAATGAAAATTTTGCTGTAATATTTCATAAAGCATTAGCCTGGCAAACTAGCTGACCCCGCAAACAGGTTTACGCGCTCTGCGGTGGCGAAGTTATTTTTCTGTTAAAGCATTTCTTTGAAAAGAAGAAAAAGAAATGAGTTTAAAGCCACGAGGAGAGAATAGGCGAAATCCGGGAGTACATCGAGCTGCTGCAGGAGAAATATTGTTCGCGAGGAAAGTCACGGAGAACGGTCGCGCCGCGCCGCGCCGTGCCGCCGCGCGAAGCGTAAACCGCATTATACGGGCCGTGAAATCGGGAAAAAATGTTTGCGCTACCGGCGGTCGATGTGTAAAACGTCTCGGTATTGTTAGAAATTAAAAACTTCTCGTGTGTAATGTATTCCCCGAACGACAAATTGCAAAATTGTCGCTTGAAATATTGAGCGGCCGAAGAAATATTGCCTGCCGCGTGACGCGTAAATGCGTCGATCCGAGAGGCATAAATCGCATTATCCCGCTCGTGAAAACGAAATAAAATGTATATGCACGCGTGTTGCCAGTAGAGAAGTTTTATGGTAATGTTTTTGTTAGCGAAAGTGCTGTAATATTAATCTCGCGGCTACATACAACGCATCTATTAAAAATATCGCGTTTTTAATGAAAAGCATATAATCTATCACGACTTTTAAACTGCATATATTTATATAACAATAATATATCAGCCGTAAATTATGTTTATGATACTTGCGCGCTAAATGCAATAACGTTCTCGCGGCAATATATGTGAGATGTGCATAATAAAATATATGCAATGCATCTGTAATAAAAAATATATAAATATATTATCCAAGTGATATAAAATATAATACTGCAAACTCTTGTTAAATATATGATTCTTCAATTTGTATCAGTTATCATTTAGATTTGTGCTCCAAAAAGCTGAATTTGCCACTATAAATTAGATCATTCGTATAAAGAATTGAAAGAGGAATCAGTTTTAATGCGTAATTCGTTTAAAAAAAAGATAGTTAATGTTGTGTATGTGTGCGTGTGTGTGTGTATCTACATCATGTGGGTTTCATAAGGCGTTACGATTTCACGCTTCCGCTACGAGCCAGTACGTCGTCTGCAGGCCGACAGCGCGTCGTCGCGTATTACAGTATCAGATTGCAAATCAATATCTCATTTCGTAGGTATGAGCCGAGATGTTGCGTTCGTAATGCAGTTTCGTGACCGAGAGTGTCGACGTGTTCGAGTGGCTGAAAGCAGGGGGCACACACGCGAGATGACATACGTGTGCGATCGTATACGTACATCCGACATTTTTATGCGCGCACATACATATGTGTCTATATAGATCGAACGAGGTTTGACAGGAGAGGGGAAAATTGGAAGGGGTTGATCTTGCGCCGGGTCAGAGGAAACTGGAACGAACATAGTTAAGTCGAATTACTCTTGGGGAGGGGGGGAAGCTCCATAACTTCGCGACAGCGATTGTTTCCCGCGAAAGATTTACTAAATGATCGATTAAAAGAAGCGTAAGTGTTTCCCATTATTATACGCTGTTATTGTCTCGCGTTATTTTTCAAAACGAAATAAAAACCTATGACTTTTAAATATAAAATCAGATAAATATTAAACCGATTAATTGAATCGCATTTTTTGTTACCACATTTCAGCGGTGAAGAGAGAAATGCGGATTTAATTTCTGCATCAAATCACACTCACATGACTCGCCGGCATTAAATTGTTTAACAAACGGCTTTCTTTCCCTCCCGCGGCTGCTCCTCGTCCACGTCGTGCAGAATTTCATTTCGCGCGTTTCGAGATTTGTATAATTCGCCGCAATAATTAAGCCGCCCGCCATAGAAACGCAAAACCACGTGCCTTTCGTATCTCTTCTGGGTCGAATACTTCAGGGTCGAAGGGACCGGGCATTTTCGGCGAAAGCGTTAGCCCCCAACACTCGTCGCCGCTCTCCTTCTCTCACTTCCCATCCCTCTCTCGGTCACAACTGTGCCGCGAAATCTCGTAACATCGACGTCGAGATTTGCATAATTCGTTGCGATAATTAAGCAATCTGCATATTACGGCCCGCGCGCGCGCCTCTTTCGTGGGCAAATAGTCGCGGTCCTGAAGTCGGGGAGCCGGCCCCTCGCTCCGTCTTCTACCCGCGTATTCGGCTATTAGATTAGAGGGCTGTAACGAGTAATATTCACGTAACCATTCCGCACTAACACTCACGCGATTTCACCCCAGCGCACGTACACGCGTTTAATGCACGACGTGAACCACGAATCTCCCCCCGTCAAATATCAAAAGCGCGGTGCGAGCGCCTCCCTTCGCACAACGTACAAGGACGTGAAATATAATGAATCTGTTACTCTCTTGTAGCAACTTTGACAAAAAGTGATAAGACGATATATACGGGTTCATGTTTCATATCAGATTCTTTTAGGGACTCTTACAAGAAAATAGGCAACACACGTGGCTGGATATAGATTTTTTATCAGAAACATTGACCCCGGATTGTTAATAATATATATTTTGCTTACGTTATATTTTTCTTGCTTGTTTCTTTCGACTTTTTCAAATTCTTTTAATGTCGAGCTCGTACAAAATTTGTACTAGGACTAATTAATAGTTAATTAACGACCTCTTATATATGAAAATATATATACAAAATGTTATTATTATAAGATGATCGATTATTATAAGAATTTTCGAGAAATAAATGCATTTATTTATCTAGTAAATTTATTTTTAACATATTCATATGAAATTCGTTTCTCGTTATATAACAATTTTTATGTGCGACACAAGACTTTTGCCTATAAGAGATCGTTCATCACGATAATATCGATTTAATGTCAATGAATAAATCAGGACGGGAACCAGTAAACGTCAACATAGAAGTTATATCTGACTAAAATCGTGAAAGTTATGAATTAATTGGGAAGAATTATATATGAATATCTTTATGTGATATAGATTACATTCTTTTTCATTGCGGTCATCTTAGACCTTCCAAAGAGGGACGTTGAAGAGATGAAGCCAAAAAACTATGCGATCAAAAAAGTGGCCGTGGAAAGAGGTGCACGCGAGTAAAGCGTACGATGAAATGGGCCATGCGAAGTTGCGTGACCAAAGCTAGAAGTCTCGTTTACGCGCGCAAGTTGTAACATTACAAACGTTATATAAACTCAGGAACGCCCAGCCAGCATTTGCATTGATGACGTGAATATAATGTATCACCGGGAGCTCGAATGCCGAGCTTTTCTCCGCAGCCACAATGGCCACTGACCACCTGTTGCCTTTCCATTTATATTTTAGACATCGTGAGAACGTCATCGCCTTACATATCGCGAGCATCTCGAAAGAAGAGAGGTCTTTTTTTTATGCAGGAAGATCGTGAATCACTTATTCGTCCCGTACGTTTTATACCTACGTCTATACTTCTTCACGTCTAGCGAATATTGTATAAGATCATCCTTTTGCTTCTCTCGTGCGATTTAACGTTATTTTACTATACATATATTTTTAGAGAATTACGATTATATAAAATTATGGAATTTTAAGAAAATTATTATATCGAAATGTGTCGTGCGCAATTTCTAATTATGATTCGGCAGTTTCTGTTAATTAAATTTACATGAGAAGTTAATGAAACTATTTAATTTCTACTTTCTGCTTATCAAATAAAAGAGATTAAATGTTATCAGCATAAAAAGATATAGTTAATATATCATTGAAATCTCTGATTATTTGTTTACTTATAAAAGCCAAATTAAACCAGTTTTTCCGTAAGCTGGTCATATCACATGCTGTAAGCAATAACTCGTTGAGGAGGTCGTTAAAATGTATACTGTAGACCTCGTACGTAGTAAAATTGCGTCCATAAAAATCCCGGCGTTATTAGAGCGAGAAATCAACAATTTGCATTATCTGTTGCAGGGTGCGTCATCCAGCATAGTGGTAAAATTCGCAGACACTGATAAAGAGAGACAAATAAGACGCATGCAGCAAATGGCCGGGAACATGAGCATCCTTAACCCCTTCTTCAATCATTTCGGCGCTTACAACGCTTACGCTCAGGTGGGTCGTGTTACCGTTAATGGCTCTCGCGTTACCGCATTACCGCCTTGTTGTCCTCGTTACCACGACTCACAATCTGCGATGGTTCGTCCCTCGTTACTCTCGGAAACGATCGGCCGAAACTCGATGCCATCGCGTTAACACCGGCATGCAAAAAGGTCCCCTCACAATCACCTTCCGCGGTTTAATTTTTCCCAGGATTGCGATCTATATAAAAAAAGACAAATGTGTAATTTTGAAATTATTTTATGTGCAACATTGTACACATAATAAATATTCGTCTTTTGCCGATATTTCAAGCACAGTACATTCCTTTTTTTATTAAGCTCGAATAACAATTTTTTGTTTAACAAAAGAGATAGCTCTCATTTCGCGAATGTTCTTCGAGATCGTGTATTTTTTCTAAAGTAATTTTATTTGCTCTTTAAGTTAATAATAAGGAAAAAATATGTACATATAATTCAAGGGAGAGCGTTGTTTCTAATATTATCTTTATATTGTAGCAGCAAGCGGCGCTTATGGCAGCAGCGACTGCACAAGGAACATATATAAATCCAATGACCGCGTTGGCAGCTGGACAATTGCCGCATACATTGAACGGCATGCCAAATCCCGTGGTCCCACCAACCTCTGGTAAGAATACCCCAACTGAGAAAATTAGAATGCTGAATACCTCACGACACGCAAATATTCGGGAGAGAAGAACCCATTTGCCGTATCGAAAATATTGTGTTCTTCAGAGAAATTTCAATTCATACTCAACTTTTCCACGGAAACTTTTGTTATACTTAAGAATGTCTATATCCGTAACATTGCTATGAGATGTTTTCTTTTCTCGCGAATATATTTTATATTACATAATATTCTTCTATTACGTAACATCCTATTTTTTTTACACATCATAAGCATATTTGCAGACTATACAATATTCTCGTTTAATCGAGAAGTGTTTATTCAGCTGTTAAATTAATATGAAATATTGAGCTATAATGAAAATGTAATGTATACATACACCTTGCTAATATTGATAAAGAGCGTCCGTCATGATATTTTAATGACAATTTACGAAGATTACGTGGAAAACATTTTTTTTCCAATTCAGGTTAATCAATTCCCAAGTTAATCAACTAACTGCACCAATCCGATAAAAACGTGCATTTTACCGAAAAGGAAAGAAGCACTCGAGGGCACACGAATTATCCGCCATCAACTCGATAGCCGTCCGATTTCAATGAGATAAAACATATCACTCCCCGTCCGGTCGCTCTTTCCCTCCTCTGGTCTGCTTTCTCCATAGTTTCCCCGGATTCTCACGACGGACGAGGCGTGCAAGTCGGTTGCCTTATATCCGGACTCGTAAATCAATACAACATTTTCATCGAACGTGACTCAAGCGAGAGATATTGCCGGTACCGCGAAACTTTATCGAAAGCTCGTTGCGCGAGAGGAAGGAAGCCGAAGAAACGCCTCTTCCTCGCCCTCCTTTGTTCACACCCTCCCTTTCCCGGTTTTCCTTCTCACTCGGCGTGGCGATGCAAGAAACGGCGCGGCGCGGAGAGGTCGCGGAATGCTATAGAGAGGTAAAGTAAGCGCGGAAATCGGCTCCGTTATACGTCGAGTCTCGTCGAGCGGAAGGTAATACCGTTTGATAGGGAAATAATATTTTATTTCTCCGCGCCGAACCCCTTGGCTCCGCCAGGCCGCCGCGCCCGCGCGCGCCGCGTCCGTCCGCCGCTTTATTCCGCGCAACCGTAAGATTACTGTAGCAGCGAGCTTTTATTTTCGACGAAACGACGGCGTAACCGCAAACTGCGTGTATATACGGGGTGGCATTGGCAGGTAGATCTCTGCGTGCTCGCGCGGAAATCGTTCCATGTATACCTGTAATCCTACCGATAATCGCACGCATTTCAAATCGCAGTATGGAATAGAAGTTCAATCCTTCAATAATACGAAACTCAAAATAAAATTACTTCAGTTAAAAGTAAAATCCTTCGGTAAACCCTGAACCGAAGGTTCAGGGATTGCTCTGGGAAATGGGGATCTACCTTCGTTGTAGTTTTATGAAATTCATATCACGCGAAGTTTAATGAAGTAGCCTCGGTGCGCCATCGCGCGCGCGATGTATTTTGCAGCATCGGCGTCGTCGGTTATACTCTCGCTGTAGGTCTCACCTTGTATAGAAACCGCTTGACCTGTCTAACCGAATCGACAATGCCGGGAGCGTATATCGCGCAGTCACGGGAATTTAAGTTTACGACGTATCGTCATATCCGATGCACGTAACCGACTACGAGCGCACGACGTGAGCGCGCGCATGCGACGTAATCCGAGCGTTATCGAGGCATCGAGATTCTTCTCCGTCCCCAATCTTTACCCCACGTCTTATAAGTTAGCAGAACAAAATTATAATTTATTATTCCACTCAAAAATAATTTACTATTTCGCGAAGAATTTTGATAATTTCTTAAAAATTGTAAGTTTACAATTTAAATTTAAATTAAAATAATACATAAGTTTATAAGATTATAAATTAAAACTGTATTCAGAGAAGTTGATAAGTCGCTGGATGACAGTGATTAGTCTTTTAATGTTAAAAATAAATGTATAAATTTTTAATATTAAAAATAAAAGTATAAATATAAATGACCGCAACATCAAAACTATAATGAGGCCCATTTTTGAATTCAGATCTGAAAATAATTTTGTGCGAATGTCAAAATGACTGCTAGAATATCAAAACGTTTTATAGCAATACTTATCGCAGTTTTAACATTCCAACAAATTTTGATGATTCAACAAAAAATTATTTTCAGATCTGTTTTTAGCAAAATTTTTAGATCTTTCAACAAAATCGTTCTTTCCGTGTAAAGTATTAAGGTGCCGTCACTTGCTTAACTTCATCCGGCGGTCAATCGCAACGTTCTCTTTAAAGGACCTTCGAATTCGCCTCGCGTCGTACGGGAAATCATTGAGAACCATGAACCTTATAATTTCAAAAACGCCCGATTAAATCGTAAACGCGCCGTTACATATATTGCCCGTTGTCGTGTGCCCTTGACTGCGCTATTTCCCGGCAGTCACGTGCTTACTCGATAGAAATAACAGATGTTGCCCAAACATAATTATGTCTCATTAACCTACGTCGAGTCATATTGACGTGACACCAAACGTTGGTCAACGGCGCGATCAATGCGTTATTAGCGCAACGCAAGGCTTTGATCGCTGATCCGAATCCCATCGTTGACACAGACAGGAGGCAAACTATTATCGATAAACACGACCTTTTTACGCGCGAACTAAAATCGTAATTCAAGAACAAGCATACGTTATATGTATACAGTTGCAATGGTATTGCGTCGCGCGTCACGCGACAAAGTGAGAGAAAAATTAAGCGTGTAGCTCTTTGCATCGAATTCGATAGCTTTGTGATGTTACCTCAGCGTAAGATTCTGATTTACAAAATCGATGTAAACGAACGTTTCGTGATTCGATCCTTCAAATGTCGCGCGAGGCATATGGATCGTTAACGGCTCTTTCTCGATATCTATCACAATGGGAAAGTGAAAAAAAAAGAGAATAGGGATGAAAATCGGAGATTGCATTCCAATCAGATGCGTCGCGCGTAAAGGACAATCGTGGTTGGTGTTGAAAGTGCAAGAGGGTAACCGGTGTGTACTGATCAGGTTTGCTCGTAGGTACCGGCACAGGGCAACCGGTTAACGGAGCACTACCGTCGTTACCGTCGCCGACGATGCCCAATTTTAACATGGCCGCTCAAACGCCGAACGGCCAGCCGGCAGGCTCGGATCCAGGTGTCTACACCAACGGAATACCGCAGACTTATGCGGGACGTGAGTATCAACTCAGGCGCAGCGCGCCGCCCCTGCGCAATACCCGGCCAATCGGTGGCGGACTTTATTATTCCACGGGGATGTAAATAACTTCGCGCAGGCCAAGTACCATGCCAAGTACGTCGGGCGGTACTCGCGCGGCACACTTTTCACGTCTACTTCTCGGCGCGAGGAGAGCGCCGGTTACATTTGTTGGCGTTTATTTGCGAGGGAGAGCTGAAATTAACGGCGACACACGGGGTCCATACGCGGAAGACCTAGACCACCCAGTGTCGGGGCTTCGCTGGTCCTTGCTAAAGCGTGAGATTTACGTTCACGTTTTACGCAAGAATGACTCAACTCTGGCAATGAACGGTTAAACGTGTAACAAGTAAAATGAGTATGAGTGTCAATGAGTAAAAGTTTGAGATAGTTTCTCTTTACGTACATTTTACGATTAGACACATTTACATTTTATTTTCGAAGCCTTACGAGATTAAACCTCGACCTTTATACGTCTGACAAAATGCGTCAAAAAATTAATGATATAGATATAATCGTTTGAATATCGATCGAACTAAATCGTACAACGTTGATAAATCTTTAAAGCGTGATTTAAATCGGGATTTTGCGTATCGCAAGAGCAATGAATTTCGCGATATGGCGACGTATAATCATTCTTATAGTCAATCCTTCATTAATCTCCGTCCTTTGTCGCCATTCGGGTAGATAGTCATTACTAGTCGAGCATTATAGTCGGCGGGAGATATCGAGCGGTATCGATTGGCCTACTGGGTATTGCGACAGGGGCCTCTAGGCTAGGCCCCTCTCCCCGATAAGAGCTGAGCTTACTGAAGTGTAGATGCCCTCCATCTGTCCATTCCAGCGCAGGGGTTGGCCAACGGGGAGGCGGCACTTCAGCATGCCGCCGCGTATCCTGGAATGCAGGCTTATGCTGGAGTGGCCGGTAAGTGTTTTTCCCCCCAAGCTTCAATTTTTATCTCTACGGCTTGTCAAGGTGCTGTCTACCCTGTCCGTGTCTTCCGTGCAATGACTGTAGCCGCGTTTTCGACCGTCCAGCTCCACCCGGGCAGACTTACGGGTATTATCGACGTGAAAGTAGATGCAACGCGAGACGAATACAGTTTGTCCATCGCGTTCGTCTCCGTAAAATTCGTTCTGAATAAATAATTTCACGTAAACGACGATTGTAAATTGAATTTATCATGATTTAAATATCGATCGATTATTAATTGCTATACAAACGGGATTAGTAACGATCGCAGATCGTGAAAATTCTTTCTCCGTAAATTGAAAATTAATTCACGAACGTGTATTTCAGCGTAGTTATTATCGTTTGGCATTATCGCGACGTTCGGTTTTAGAGCGCGCTAGATAACACTTTGCGCTTCATCTCGCCCGGATGTTGCCTATCGCGATCTCGACGAGCGGGTCGAGAAATCGCGCGCGTGCGACGGCCGTGTGAGATGGGTGTCGTGAGATCGTGTCTGGGTATGTAAAGGGAAAAATGCATCAGGGGACCGTCCAACGTTTACGCGTGCTTTTATCCGGGCGCCGTCGGAGCACTTATCTAGCGAAAAAATTCGATTTCGCTGATCGCGTTGCTGGTTGTTTGCATGCAACTATGGGCCGCATGCGTATACACACATCCGTGTACATGTACACGTCATACATGATCGTGTACGCGTCAACGTTTCGTTCTATAATGCTTCTGCTGTGGCGCTACGATGTACTTCGATGTCCTTTTAAATGTACTTCGTGTACATATTATATTGTAGTTTTACACGTTTACACGTTTCCTCCCGTTGCATGTGACTCCCCCTCCCCCCTCGTCCCCCTATACACATCAACGCCAACGGCGAATTATTCGCCATCGACCGTCGACGTTGCAGCATCAAAGTGCAGCGCATCGGCGCAAATTATGATCCAATAAAGCCCGGCAAAATGGATGATCTCGTTTCACGGATAATCAGCGTCTCGATGGACCTATACTTCTATTACATTCCAATCACTCTCGGTAACGGGAGGGCGGGACAGGGGTGGGACGGGAGGGGGGTAACGTTTAACAAATTCCGCGTTTACGCCACTCGATCGGATACCGTTGTCCGCTTATCGACGACGCGAAGGGACGACAACCGAGAGAGCAAACGAGAGGAAAGAAGAGAGGGGAAGAGGATGTCACTCGTTCCGCTCGTTCCCGTGTCACCGACATCAATTCCGCCTTCGTGTGTCTCTCAATGCGCCTCCACCGTATCCGGCGAAAACTCAACAAATTCGAGTCATAACAAACGCACGGCCACGCGGCGGTATACGCGAGCGGTTCTCGTATTTACCGAGGACTCAAAAGCGGTATATTTTTTTCTATGTATTTTCGGCCAGTGTACACATACGCCATCGAGATCAGCGAGTGGAAAAAAAGCAATCCCGGAATAACGGCGGGTACCTCTATCTGAGCGTGACGCGCGGCCCCGACGTATGATGGCGTATTTATTTCATACGCCAAACGTTGATCCATCGCGCACCGACAGGGGGCGGGGGGAGAGAGGGGCGGAGGGGGCCTCGGGTAACGTCAATCGGAATATATTAAAGCGATGTTTGCACGGAAATAATTAATTCCGGGGCGAAAATTCGCCTCTGCCGATCTGAGAGCGCGGTAACTCGCACGCGCACGCTCCGCCTATCCGTCACAAACAGGTATCAATCACGAGCATTTTAAATATTTATCAAGCTATAATTAATAACAACGTACTTGCTTTCTGTCTCGTCGCGTGTGTAGCGCGGGCACAGGGGATATACATATAATGCCCGCGCGGCTCGCGCGCGTTTATAGCGCGAGAGATCCAAATTTACAGACTAACCAATTGTCATCGAAAACGCACATACAGAGATTCGCATTCGCGAATTAAAATATAACGGGGCATTTCTGTTTTAATGTGAAATATTTTGCATTTCGAGTCTCGTTGATTATATCAGAAGTGATATCGATACCTATTCATTCTACCGGCCGATTTTTTTTCCCTCTTCAATTTCGCAAAATATCACATTACGGGCGAAGTTTTATTAAATTTTTAAATAAAATTTTGTTATCTTAGAATTTCATTACACTCAAATCGCGAATCGTTAATGTATTGACGCGTCAACATTGATACGAGATGTTATAGAATTTCGTCGTAACAAAAAGCTCGTTATAATGAGATCTCACTGTCGATTCGTTGTAACGTGATATTAAGCAAACGCTATTACGATAATGTCTCTCCAATTTCAGAACCTTATTCCGTGCGAATCGTATGTCCTCTCTCTCACTACGAAATCTTCCGTTTTAACGTTGTTTGTCTCACGGAGAGAACGTCCTTTTCTCGATTGCTTTAAATATTTAATTTCGCAAATTGCAACGGGATATTCCGTATATAGTTGTGCAAAGACGACTTTCGCTGCATCATTGCGCTAAGAAGGCGGTATCCCGTTTTAATGAGGCACGGTCGTTTTAAGAATCGTCCTTTGAAGGGATATCCGGTGTCGGCTAATGACGCACGATGGATGCAACGTTGCATTTTCGCCGGGCTCCCGGTTTCGCGGTACAAAAGTATCGTGTTGAAAGTATCGCGCGGGTACGGTGAGAACGTTGAGAGACGAATACCCTTGTCGGCAGAAACGCCCCGTGATGAATGCCGCGCGAAATCGCCCGGTACGCGAGCTTTCGTATCAGCGAGTCGCCTCTCGCTCGCTTTTACACCGACCAGGGGCAAACAGGGGCCACTCGGTGGGAGGCGCGATTTCCATATTTCGCGTTAACGATGAGATTATGCGGGATCTTCCAGAAATAACAGTTTCGCGGAGAAAATTTGACTGAGACTGGAGAGAGCGGTATTTCTCAAACTTCGAACACTTCCCTCGACAATCGGGCCAATAGAAGCAACACACATTTTCGAATAAATAATAAAATTTAGTTGAACTAAATTGATTGTTATCAAAAATATATTAAAGTTCAAAGGGTTCGATTCTCGAGAGGCTTGCCATTCCGAAGCGATCGCAGAATCTGTCATTAATATCGAGACCGGAATAGCTCGCGTAATTCGAATTGCTCCTCATGCCCCGCAGAATGAAGCAGAAATGTGTCCCCGCGTTCTTTACGTTTAATATCCCCTTAATGTTGATGCTTTGACCTTTCCCCCGCTCCCCCTCGCCCCTCCCCCTTTTCCGCGACGAATCTTCGGCAAATCGCAAGAAATAAATGGTCGCGCGTCCGATTTTACGTGTCCCCGACGCTTCTAAAGCGCGCGCCGGTCATAAATTACACCGTTGTAATCTGTCTAGCGATGGGCAACGCAATTTCTGTTGAATCTGTTGACGTTTATTGGACTGTTCGGCTTTTATTACTGTCATCGTCCATTATGTATGCGCTATCGCTGCATTGAATTACGACGCCTATATTCGTTCATCGGCGGTCGTCGCCGCCGCCGCCGGTCTCGCGCTGTCGCTGGCCCTTACCGTCGACGGCCGACAGCGGATCGCAGATATACGGACTGGGGAAAAGGACGAAAAAAAAAAAAAGAAAAGAGAGAGAGCGGGTTTATGAGGGGGAACGGATAGGCAGTGTGGCACGCACAGATCTAGATGTGGACAAGTTCATGATGTACTTGTTATTTGTTATTGTCGCAGCTTACCCCGCCGTCTACGGCCAGTTTCCTCAGGCTATTCCTCAGCCGATGACCGCGGTGGCACCCACGCAGAGGGAAGGTAAGTACAACACGCTCATCAACGTCTAACTGTTGACTGTAAACACGAACGTCTGTAGACCTGAGATTGTAGACCCACGTCCCGTACACACGTCCAGACACGAATTATCCATCGTCGGCGCCCAACGAGGTGCAAAGAACGGAGTTTCGACTTCTCCCGACGCTGCCGCCGCCACGCCGCTGCACACAGCAGACCGTACCCGCGGTAATTGCACATCTCGCACAAAATGAAGCGACGTCGCGTCGCGAGGCTCGATTATGCGAGAAAGATCGCAGACGAGCGCGAGGTACCTGAGCAGATCGCTCTAGATGTTTTGCGTTTCGTTTAGCTTCTGGCGTCATTTTTAATTTAGCTCACAGTAACGCTCGATTATTCAAAAATAAAAATCTCCGAAAATCGTCGAAAATCTCTACTTCTCTAATTTGCTATTCTGTACTTCTATCATTTCGAATCTCGCAAGTATTTGGCAGGCTTCCTTTTCATCGAAAGAAGATCGTTGCTTCAAAGACGAACGTTTCTATTCGATAGTTCCATTAATTTCAATTTCCATAGCCACACGAAGTTGCGATTAAAGTGCGATTAATTAAAAACCCGCACCAGTCCGAATAAAAGAAATCCGCGAATCGGTCAAAGGGACGGCGGCGTCTCGCCTCAAATCAAGTATATCGGTTGCGGACTAGTCATTTACTAAGCCATCTTTTGCGGAAAGATATACCGTGTAGGGGAGCCGAGAGGCAGGGAAAAAGTCGAGCAGGCAAGTCCGGGGTTAGAAGGAGGGTTGAGCGAGCCAGCGCCTAATTGCAATTAACAACTCGCCATTATTAGAATATACGACGCCTCGCAATGAGATAATGCAAATAAAACGAAAGTTTTAATTACTTTGCCGCTACGCCCGCCGGCGATCCGTTGTTACATCGCAGGATAATGGAAAGTTTACCGCGACAGCGCTACTCCGCCTCCGTTTTATCCGGCCTCAACCCTCTGCTCCGACCGCCATGTCCCCTCTCCCTCCCCCTCCCCCTCTCCCACCCCTCCGTTCTCGTCGTCTCTCACCCGTTCCCATTTTCATTCTGCCTGATCTTTTCGTCTCGTCGATGCGTTCTGACGATATACGTTTTTCCCATGCGTCGCGATTAAATCGTAAGCGGTATGTGTACACACGAGAAGAGTAAGAGAAATCTCTAATCGAATTTACTTCCCGTACGTGATGAGTATCCTCGCGTATCTCTATCGACGCATTTCTGTCATCTCTTCCCTTGGATAAAGAAAATTAATAGCAACTTTATTTTCCGAACGGATATAAATTTCACGAGATGAAATCACCTAATCGTAAGCGACTCGTTTCCTGTCAGTTTAAAATATCAAATTTTCTTATATTGTTTCTTGTACCGTCAAAGGATTATATTGTGTCGTACAGTCGTGTGCATTTCACATTACCGTTCACTTTTACATGAAATTCGAACAGTCCATCACATAGTTGAAATGACAAATATCTCATATCTGTTCTCATTTTTCTTTGTGTATAAGCGTAAAATACATTGCCAAGAGCACAAATACTTCCCGAAGTTTATTTATTTTTTTCCTCAAAAAAAATCGAAGAGAGAGCAACGTTTATCATATTGCCGACTTCCTGGAAACTTTTGTTTGTTGGATACAAGTTTTGTAAAAATAAAGAGAAACGTGTGTGTGCAGACACTTTATCTTTTGGAGAAACTTATGTTAGATGTCAAAGTCGTTAGGCGTGCCGCAATATCGGACGGAACCCAGGGGAGCTGAAGGGGAATCGACGTTATTGTCATCATTGCATGACAGTGGTATCGATCTATTATTGACTGTCGCTTACGCGAGTTTACCCTTGCTCCGTGTTACTTTATAAGCTCCTTGATCGTTGTTCTGGGTGTTCTACGTCTTACACGATGTTTTTTCGGTGTTCGTATTATACATTTCTTCTCTCTCTCTCTCTCTCTTTCTCTCTCTCTGACCATGACTGTGTCATAATATTTTTTAACGTTGTTGCGGATAGCTCTCCTCTATACCTTCCTTTATCTCTTTTTTTTTCTTTACGTCAACGTATCTCGGATGTTCGTCGTTAATTCGGTGTTTCGCCGTTGCACTCGATGTCAGTGGCTGTTCTCGGTGTTGCGCTGTCGACCAAGTGTTGGTTGTTGCTTCGCTACAAGACGGGGTATAATACGTGCATTGCGAGATTTTTTTGCTATCTGTATACCAGAAAATCGACACGAATCCGTTTCGCGATCGGCAACACCGTCACTCGCGAAAATAAATATATATCGCTGCAATTCACATAAGCGTGATAATTCGACTTTGCATAAAAAAACTCAAATTCATGTAACGTCAAATAAAAGTAATATTTAGATCGCTAAAAAAATATTTTTTCTGCATATAAATCTCGCGTATATGTTTTCGAAAAAATATATGCAAAGTTGTAGAATATTTTAGTTAAATTAAAATTATATATACGTTGTCAAATTTGGCGGATGTTTGATTAAGTAAAAAGAATAGGATAGAAAATCGCGAAATTTTAGTATTGATGTTTCACGTGGCGTATTTACCGCTATTACTTTTTGACGGAAGTAGACATAGAAGTAGACAAGGTAGTCGTTCTCATTAAATTCGCGTGCACGTACCGCGTGTGTGCCAATTAGAGAGGCGAAAACCAATTTCAGGATCAACGATCGTGCGCGCGCGCGGCACGACGACGGGCTTTAATTTATGGCTCGTTCTTCGTGATTTCGTCGTCCACCGCAATTCCCCTCCGTTGCTCTCCCTAGCTCGGAACCGGAAACCCGTCGACACTCGTGCTAATTTGGGTTTCGCGTGACAGCCGCGATCGAGTTATTACCGAGACCAAGTCGTTTTCGCGTAAGAGAGGGAGAGTTTGTCACTCTTTGCGTAAACCGCAGGACAGGTTTGTGATTTCTCGCGGCGCTAAGTACCCAACAACATTAATTTATAATTGTCGGGAAAAGTTTGTATTAAATCGGCGATTTCGGCCGGGAAAGTATCGCCCTAGCTTTTATTAAATTGACCGCTACGAAGGAAGCTTTTCTGATTCCGCGAACTTTATACAGATTTCGATGGTACGCGTTACACATCTGTCAGAAAAGCATGTAGAGTAATGCTCGCGGATAGAAAAGTTTTATCTCAGAATCAAGTTTTGCGACTTGAAACGAACTTTTGCAAATGCCGATCGCGACGCGCTATTTTCGACAACTGCAATTAAAGTTTTACTCTCGGACAATCGACGAAAATCGCCGCCCGCTCCCCGAATCGGACGAAAATATCCTCGTAAAACCGCCGTAAAATTTTGTCTGTGCCGCATTAATTCTTAAACTTTGCCGGAATCTGCGATGATAATCTTATCGACCGACAAATATGTTCAACGAGTCATGCAGTGTTATCGTTAGGCAGCGACATACCGGAAGTCGTAATCGAGTTGAAAATGGATAATTATGCTCTGCGATGATTCGACTAGCATATTCCGACCGGGTTCCCGGGAGGAATCTTTCCGCAAAAGGTCTTTCGGGTAGAGGCGAACAGGTCGCGCGATGAGTAGCACCCTAAAAGTTGAGTGGCAGCCATCTCATTACTTAAATGCGTCCGTTAGTCCGGGAGAGAAGCTCTGGCCAAGAGAGCAGAAGTTTCCACGGTCATAATCGCCGCTAATTGACGTCGGAGTTATAAAGTTCAGTGAAATTAGCTAAATCCTTATTTGGACTGCCGTTGTTCGGGTAGTCTTTCCTCTTCTCTCGCTCTCTCTTCGCCTTTACCCTCGGGATTTTCTTCACCCGGCCTAAATTAAACTCCCGATGTCTTTGGCATTTTAACACCGGAAGTCGAAAAAGAGACCTACTTAAGCGATCGTAGGGTAGGTTAATCAATTGTGCGAGAATCAAATTATCGCGAACGAGATATGGAAGTACTGAATGTGAAATTACGAATGTAATTTTAGAATCCTCCCTGGATCGTGACACATAATCTTTCACAATAATTATATTACGTTCATATATCATTAACATTTGCACCGCATTAATCTCATTTATAATATAATCAGCGTAATATAATATGGACAAGAAGAGATGTGTAATAGATATTTCCGCGCAGGGTGACGGCAAACTTGCAGTGTCATTTAGAATAAATAAAAATTATTATGAATAAAAGAAAATAAAACGTAAACCGACGGATTATCGTGTCTGGCGAGAAATACGGGAGTATCGCACCATCAGTAATCAGTGTCATCACCATTATCGTCACCACGTCTCCATACCCATTCACTCATTTCAGCATCCATCACCTCATCTCCGTCATTGTGTTGTAAATCCCAGTGTTGTGTGTGTATATTTGAAAGTATAAATACTCAACGTTATTTTGAACCGGGAGATTTCTGTCAATAGTCACGAGTGAAACAATGCTCATGACTTTTTCTAATCGTTTTGTCAATTCATTCGGTCATTTTCATGTCATTTTTTCTGTCATCCACTCTACTTAACTTCTCGCTTAATTCATGCTCACGTCATTTCGCATCACTCGTGGAAGACAAAATCATGTTGTATGTCATCATCATCTCGCACTCGGGCGAACGAGAGAAAATCGGTATTGTCGTCGAGAGTCGGTCGCAGATTCATCTTCATTCATCAGAGAAAAGCAAAAAAAAAGACGACTCCAGACGAGAAAAAGAAAGTAATCGGAAAGAAAAGCAGCACCCGGCTTGGCGACCTCGCTGACGGGTCTTGAAGCTCTCGTATCACGTGGAGAATCATTTGTATTTGCGAAGAACAAAGCTCATCCAGAACTAACATTCTAACTTGAGTATTATACTTCAAGTTTAGATGTTTAGATGTGCTCTGATTTATATGGTAGGATGCTCTATCTCAGGACCCGAGGGCTGCAACCTGTTCATCTACCACCTGCCCCAGGAGTTCGGTGACGGCGAGCTCATGCAGATGTTCCTCCCGTTTGGCAACGTCATCTCCTCCAAAGTCTTCATCGACCGGGCGACCAACCAGAGTAAATGCTTTGGTAAGTGCGGACGGTAACTGCGGGCAAATTTCAGGGCGACTAACAGCAACGAAAGACGCGCCCACCTGAAATATGCTCGATCCTAGAACCGCTGCGCAAGGTAGGAACGAGGGACGTCGACATTTCGTCAAAGAACAGTGTGAAAGCGGATATAAGAACGTACCTATTTTAATATCTGTTTTTATATTGCACAATTCTACGATTTTATTTACGATGAGAGCTGTGGGGCAAAATAATATTGAAAGACCTGTGTATACATATCAGTCTCACAAAAACATTTCAATATTTTTTTCACTTTGAATCGAACGGAAAAATAAAATCGCGACGTACATGGGTACATCCGTGATTATTATTATGACTTTCGATCAGTCACAGTGCTCTAAATGACTCTACATGTTTCCAATCAGAGTGGTGGATTAATCATGGAAATTTAATTCGTCTCGTCTGTACTAGGACGGACAGGGCGGACTGAATATGAATGCCGTTTCAATGGAACCGGAATCAAACTGCGCGCAGTTCTTTTTTTTTTAGGGACTACGCAGAGAGGACCGAAACAGAGAATGCGGATAAAAAGCCGCTGGCGTTCCTTTGATTAATCGTATCCGAGAGTATGAGGATACAGGATAATTGGACGATTCTATTCGCGTTCGTTCGTTCGGTCCTTGATATCTATCTTCGCATTCGTCCGCGGCGCGATTCATACATTTGCGCCCCGTGTATTTTGTCTCCTGTTTCAGACACTCATCATTCCCGTCCCTCCGAAAAAAAGAGGGAAAGCAGGCTCTCAACGACGCGTCATAATTATGCCCGCAGCCGGGAAAAAATATGCGGAAGTTTGTATCCCTTTGAAGGCATTTTCCTCGCCGCGATCAATTTAACGAAAGGACTCTTTGACGCAGCAGCTTTCCGCCGAGGATTCGCGTTGTATAATTATAACCACCGCGATCGGGATAAAATTTTCTCCTACATGTGCTTTTTAAAACGTATCCCGCGACGCGAAAACTCCGATGTAGCTCACCACGGTCTTCACAACAAACTCTTTCCGCGGGACTGAAAGGGGCTTGAAATAATCAAGGGGGTGCCCTTTGGCCTTAAAATAAAAGTAATTTGTGGAGCGGAGAACTGTGGGTGAGCAAAAGACGAAGGGACTCGGTCGGGCGGTTTAGACCACCGTGATGTCGAAACTAAAATGGGATCGCTAATGATCAAAATTGGCTTAAATCGAGAGAGTCGTGATGATCTTTCGAGGAGACGGTCCCTCTGAGGGTCTTCGTTATCGTATACCTGCCCTTTTCCGGTGTAACTTGGCTAATATCCAGCTCACGGACGAAAAACTTTTTATTCTTCACGGAAGATCTGATTCGCCTAGAATGCTGTTTAATTCTCAATTAATCAGTACTCTTCTCAAAATATAGCAGCTGTTTAAAAATTTTAAATCTACGCTTTTATTTGTCATATATAAATATTCTCTGTGTGATTATAAGTGTCATTATGATAAAACTTAATTGCAATTTCGTTGTATTCATTGCATTGCATTTATATTAATAACCAGTGCCTTTGTCATACAAACATTTAACACTTTTTTTTGCGATTATATACGTCAATAAATGAAGATTATGTTTTCATGTGATATCGAGAGAAGATTTTTATAAAGGACAGGAAAATCTGTTACACACTGCAGGATTCAATGTTCGATATTTTCAGGTTTCGTGTCGTTCGATAATCCAGCGAGCGCGCAAGCAGCGATCCAAGCGATGAACGGCTTCCAAATAGGGATGAAACGATTAAAAGTCCAATTGAAGAGGCCCAAGGACGCCAGCCGGCCATACTAACCCACGTCCTAGCCTAGAAAATCTGGACGAGGCGCGCGCTATGTCGTAACTCTTACAGGGTAAGTTTCTCTTCTCGCGAAAGAAAAGACTTTTTTTATTACACGGAGAGAATTTTTTTTTAATTTACTGAAAATCGTGTTAATTGTGGGACAGTATAGTATTTAGGCAAATTTTACTGTGTACTACAATAATAAATTTTACTATAAAATATTTATTGTAGTGCACAGTAAAATTTGCCTAAATACTATATTGTCCTACAATTAACATGATTTGCAGAGTAAATTAAAAAAAAATTCTCCGTGTATGTATTCAAACGTTAAAATTTATACAATATCGTCGCTCTGAATTGCAGATGTCGTCCGAGAACGTGAACTCGATGGACGCTCGACGATCAGGAGTGACGAGTTGAATCACCGTTACAACGCTCTCCGCCGTAACAACTTAGTATACTAGCTAGTTAATTCATTAGAGGGTAAAAATTTAGAGGTCAGTAGGACAGCAACGACTTCAACGTCATTGAAGTTCGTGCGGCGGCGGCGAAGAGGCTGAAGCGATTGCGATGAAGGATGTTCTGCGCTGAACCCAGTCCGAAGAAGAAGAAGAAGAAGAAGAAGAAGAAGAAGAAGAAGAAGAAGAAAACCGAAGAGAGAAGAGGACGAGGCACGCTGAGACGACGTTTCCCAGATGTTCGGAGATAACCCGGAATATCCGTCGATAGGCAACATCGGGCTTTTCCCTGTCTCTCCTTTTTCGTTCACACCCTCGCACTATAAAAATCTGCATGTTTCTTTCTGTCCTCCGCGAGTCTAGCCTCTGGTCCCCCCTACTGCCAGGTGAGAGATTACGTTCGAAACTTGAGAACGAGGGCGCGAATGGACATGTGAGCGTGCAGCCGTAACCTGTCGCGATCAACATTTCCGAGGATCCGGAGAGGATCCGTCGGGAGTACCGGAAGTATTAAAAACCGATCATCGTCGTCCGGATGTGCACACACGGGACGACGGCACCGCGCAGCCACAGTTACACGCGCGCGAGTTCACGACATCGCGCCGCGACGATCGTCCAGCATCAAACTGACAATAGCTAATCGCGAAATATTATCCCGTCGATAAAAACGCCTCCCCTTAGGAGTCTCGTCGTGTTCGTTCGCCAGTCCGACGATTCCAGCGGAAAAGCGCGGAAGAGATGCTAGACGGCAGAGGGAAACTTGCCGAAACACGTACACACATCCGGTACTCATGCACATCTGATTGATCCTCGACAAGGACCCTTGAACGAGGGCCGGATCCGTCGTGTGTCCGTTGGCTCGACGACAGAACGGCCCGACGATCGCCGTACAAGTACGAGAAGAATCTTTTGTACCCGCACGCAGCGAACGATTAACAGTCGTCGCGACGAAGACCCACGCGCGCGTCACCCTCGACGACGACGACGACGACGGGACGGATAAAATAATCCCTGCGCGAATGATGAAAGTAGGATAAAAAAAAACGCAGGCTCGTCCCCCGAAGAAACGCGGACGAGGTCCGATATCTCTCTCCCAAAAAGACAAATGTCAATCATATGCTATACAGGGTGCTCGTCTGACGAAACGCGTCTGAAAACTTTGAAAAAAAAGAAAAAGACAAAAAATACAAAAAAAAAAGAGAAAAACGAGGAATCAAGCGGCGAACATGGGCTCAGCGCCGGTCCGACATCCCAACCGCGGATATCGGGTTCTCCTTAACGTTTAAGATTTAAACACGTACGACGCGCTGTAGATTTTATATACTGCAGATAGAGGAAAGTGAGAGAGTGAAAGAGAGTGTGCGTGGAAGAGGAGTTTGCGCGCGTCGTGCTGCGCGTCGAGGAGGAAGCGAGGGAAGTCTTGTCCCTACTCGCGCGCGCTCGCACGGTGCTCGTCCTCCGCGACTAATAGCTCTTATTACTACTTATGGTTATGGTGATTATCATTGTAATTATTGCTAAGTAAGTGACACGCGAGTTTCCGGCCGAAAGTATAATCTACTCCGTTGTGGTTCCTGCGTGAACATCGAGAGAAAGAGAGAGAGAGAAAGAGAGAAAGAGAGAGAGAAAGAGAGAGTGAGAAAGAGAGGAATCGCGTGTGAGGGCGCGATTGCCCCGCCCGTCCCGCCATCGATCCCGCGGTTCGGTCCGATTTATTTGGATCGACGATCGACCTTGCCTGATCGGTCAAGCATCGCCCGAGAAATGTCAACCAGGCTGTGATTGTCCAGACGATGACGATGTCGCCAATGGTAGTTCTCTTTAAGTTTTTGATTAGTGATGACGCTACTTTCTGTTGTTGTTGAAGTAGGAAAAGAGTAGGGAGAAACGAAGAAAACCAAAGAAAATGATGTAGAGAATAGTAACATTGTGTAAAATGCAATATTTATCCTAGAATCGCTTATCGGCTTTCTTTAGGCTGCGATACAGACAGGGAAACAAACAGCTATTAGGGAATAATATTTTTTACGTTTATTTTTTAAGTGTAAAAAAATAATTGAGTTTAGTAGGGGTCTGATTATCGTGCAATGATTTAATTGATTTATACTCCTAGACGTTGGCCGGGACTCTAAAAATGATAGATTTGAACGTATCTGTTGCGAGAGAAGAGAACCGCGCGCTGCCGGGTGCAAGTTCGGTATGCCCAATCGTGTCGATCAATCATGTGTGTTCATGCGGAATTCCTGTGACTGAAATAGACAAAACATTGAACATTTCGCGTGCGATGCCCGGTTGGATACGAGCAGAGAGTTTCGAGCGAGTTCGCGAAAGAAAGCCAAAGAATAGAAGAAGGAAGGAGGAGCGAAGGAGAGGAAGATGGGAGGAATAGGGGATGAAACAGACCGAATATATAAAATACGCGTAGGATAGGCAATAGGGTAGGCGAGCGATGGAGCGGAGAGGAAAACTCTGATCTAGCGGAAATAATCATCCAAAGTACCAACAATATATAAATCATATATATATGTATATATATATATATGTATATATATACATGTATATATAAATAATATATATCTATATATATATGATAAATATTAAATATTATATATATTTATACATAGTATATATACATATATATAATATAATATATATATATATGCGTACGCATACACACACATTTACGTGACGTGTGTACATGCGTATATATTGCGATCGAAAGGAAACTTATAGAGACTTAGTAAATTATTCTAGTTTTAGCTAAATCAACGTCTAATAAATTATTACGCGGAGACACACGTGGGGAAGGGAAATGGGGAGAGGACACGAGAGTTTAGTGAGACGAGAAATTGCTAGGTCCGGCGCGCTGCCACGGCTACTTTACGTTTATATATTATACATACATACACACACGTACACATATATATATATATATATATATATAGATACATACGTACCTACGATTTTGGACGAGCAAAAATCTTCTCGTTTTACAATCCGCTCCGCGAATTTGTTGTTCGTCCGAATACATGTGACGCGCGCGGCACGCACGTGCGCAATTAACGGACACCCAGTGTACGTGGCTCACGCACGTGCGCGTGTGTAATCGTGCGTGCACATGTGTGTACGTACGAGGCTAATTATACGACGAAGAGGGAAGCGCTTGAGAAGGAGGACTTGCTAGTTACGAATTGACGATATAATATTAATATACATATATAAATAATGATAAACCAAATAACGTTAAAATGACAAAGATGAAGGAATGATAATGATAACGATTATTTATGGTACATATACATAACTAATACACTACGGTAACGTAAACATACGCATATATTCTTGTCATTTTTAGAAGGTTAAATTTATATATAATATATACATATATATGTATATTATATATTTATATATATATATATATATATATATATGTATGAAAAAAGGGGAAGCTATTAACGACGTCGGACGTAGTTGACTTAACAACAGGAGACTCGCGGATATTTATAGGACGCGCGAAAGTTCATCGTGATATTATCGGCAAGATCGTAGATAAATCTTTGCCGCGCCGCACACTCCAACTCGTGTACGGATGCGATATGGAAATGAGCAATCATAGTCTCGTTAATCGTTCATATACAAATCTCTCTCCTTTAAAGTTTTGTGATAGCATTCCAAGAAGAAAGAAAAGAAACGAAACGATACAAAATATAATAAAAAATAATATAAACGATTTTATTTCAATATAAGTAAAGTGTATCTTTAACTGGAAGATAATTTTTTACACGAAATACTTGATTTTTCGTAGACTGATGTCATTACCACAATAATACGTCCTCGAATTTGAGAGCGTTTTTAATTTGCTTCAGTAACAAAATTGTGCCACGAGATAGCACCTCTCAGAAATTTCAATTTAGATTCGAAAAAAACGTGATATAGAATGCGATAAAATATCTTCAACAGTCGCGCGGTACCATTCTGTTCTTCTCGTGATTTTGGCTGTTCCGAATCAAAATTAATGGAGTAATCATCGTGGAAGCCACATATGTGCATGGAGGCGTCCACCGAATCCTTCGTGCGTGTAAACATAATTAGAAAGCGCGATCAGCCTGCGTGCCGGTCCGTGCCAAACTTGTGCACGCTCGCGGGATGCGATTATCGCCTCCGCGAGCGGACATTTCGCTTCTCACGGATGATCCGTCGGGGCTCTGTCTGCGATATACACGTGCACACACGGAGGGAGGGGGGGGAGGGTACGTGCGCGAGAAATACGGTTACGAGATGAATGGATCGGAATGGATTAGACGCTCGTCTACGATTCTCCTTGTCCGCGGATATAGATACGTCGTCGAGTCCGATCGCGTAGATTGAATTGCGGAGTTTCCATCCCTCCGGGTGATTCTCCACCATCGAGATCGTAATCACACGAGAGTAGAGCATTGCTCATCCTCAAACAGCGAACTTGCCACGGTTTTCTTTCAGTTGGATCTCGCGTACGTTCTACAATTACATCGTCCCGTCGCCGTTGGAACGATAGAAAGAGAGAGAGAGAGAAAGACACGTGGAAATCAGGTGATGGATTCGTAGGGAAAATCTTTGCCACGTCTCGCGGCAGCGAGGATCCGAGGGATATGTTCTTTGTTCCGCATCGATTTTCGATACGGGCTAGGATATCCAGTTCCATCCGGGATGTTTTTCGCTTTCAAATATCTCGCGCGAGCCATGGATAGTTCGATTCTCTTCCGTGGAATTATTCGAACGTATTCCTCGCTGTCGTAGGGTGTGCAAATTTGAGAGCAAGAGAGAGAGAATGTGAAGAACGAGATTACCTTTGAGCGACAAGCTCGACGAAATCCATTTGGAAAAAATCGCAAACCGACACGACGCAGAGTGGACGCCCGAAAATAGAAATTGAGAAAAAAAAGATGGTGCCAGATCGCTAATATGAGTACTTGTAGGCACACACACGTGCGCGCATCGCGCGAATCTCCTCTCACGTGCATACATACAGGAATACGAAAGACGACACACGTACACACGCACACATTACACACGCACGCATACACATACGCCAAGGGACACGTATACTGGAGAGATGCTTCTATGCAAGCACCAATTGATAATATCACTACAATCTAAGCTTTTTAAAGTCTAAACAGTACTATTAGCGAATATCAAGGAACACAACCTACTCTAATAGATACCATAACGATATAGATACATATATAAATATAAATAATATACATATATAAATATATAAATACGAAGGTAACGGCTATTGTAACAAGAAAAAAAAATACAACTATTTTATCCAAACAAAGTTTTTGCTACAACCGAAGTAGTGCGCATCTCGCTATGAAGTAAATGAGACTTAAACTAAACAAATGAAGGATATTCTTAGCTCTAAGGAGAAATAATAATATGATAATAGCGTAATCTGTGAGGATCAGCTTTGAATTTATTTTTACATGACGTGATTGTAATGCTGAGATGAATTCGATGCTCGCAAATTGATGTTCCGAGTTTCTGAGAGGCGACGTGCTCGCGCATGCAAAATCCCAGACGTCAGAATGCACCCGCGCGTCCGAGAAATCGGGTACGCGATTCCCGTGTCAATTCGTGGCGCCCAATCCACCGCGTAAATTCATTTGCATCAACTAAGCGAAGATTGTCGGTTACACGGTTCGGTTGCCAAATGAAAATCGATACTCCGAATAGTCCGGGTATGCGGCGTATACTCTTGCCTGAGATGCAAACGGATTTCCGCGGTTTCTCGATCGAGTGAACTCAGATTTAGGACGGGGACACGATGAAGTATAAAAGACAAAGAATGAACAGCAGGATTGTAATATAATTTTATAATAATATACAATAAAATAATAATAATAATTAATTAAGAAGCGAGTATAATTGAAGCATAAAAGAAATGAAGATTTTTCCCGTGTCAAAACTCTGGCCTGTATGCCGCGCAAAAGCAAATATCTGTGCTTTGTATTAAATGTTTTTTTTTATCGTCTTCTCTCGTGTTCATTTCTCGCCGCTCATATCTTACTCATCGTGTCTCGGCCCTTAAATTCAGGACCGCTACGAACGTCGACTCGCGAATCGCAAACTCGATGGATTGACGCGTAACTTAAGTCACGAACGTCCGTCGATCTCGCGCCGCGAACCTCGGATAGCGCGCCCCGCGTACGAAGTGACGAGCACGCGATCGGAAACTTTTACGTACTACTTCCTAATTCCTAATTCATCGCGAAACTCTCGCCGAAAGAAAGCGGCGAGAGAGCAGCGCGCGAAGAGTCGTATATATTCGCGAAACGTATTCGCTTCCTCCGGCCGATGACGGCGTACGCCGATTGTATGCGCGCGAGGAGATACGATATAAAGGAAGAGACGAGAACGCTCTCGCTCTCGGGAGAAGGGAACGAACATCGGACACACCAGCAGCACCCGCCACCGCACACGAAGGAAACAGCCAAAAAAACCTATCAACCCTCACGACACCGCTATGTACGCCGCGTTGTTACCAAGTCCCAATTAGACGTAGAACGTAAATTGGAATCAAGTCACACGCGCCGCGATGCGATCCGGCAGCCGTGGTGTCGGTGATACTAGGAAACAGGGTATGTTTTTTGCAATTATTTGCGTAACTTGTAAAAAAAAAGGTGAAGTTAACGAGGAAATAAACACATCTTCATGTATACACGCAGAACACGCACCCGAAACACGTATACACACAACAGACGCACACACACATACATACCATGCAGATTCGCGCACGCATATACACAGGGATATCGCAAACACGCACGCCTATCCACGAGGGAGAGCCATGCTACGAGTCGTGCACGTAATAAAACATAGACACGAATGGCGAGCGAGGCTAAGAAAACATTTAATTATAAAGGCCGCTAATCGTATTACTTCTTAAAATATATACGAGTAAGCTAAAAGAAACTGTGTGTCGTACGTAGACGCAAACGCGTTAGAGACTTGTCGCGGATTCGGTATAGCGAATTTCATCGTCACGGTTTGGGAAACGAAGCCGAGTTTTTAGCGGGCCGTCCTAGTTGCGTATCGCCTGACGGAGCCTTGGCTTTTTTTGTCCCTCGCGAGATGCGTTCGCCGAAATCGGGGGTCCCCGTTCGTCCTCGCTGTCCCCCGAAACGCGTGTTCGTTGCGGGGTGCCACGGGGACGTCGGGCCACCGATCGGGAACGCAGGATCGCGATCTTCTTCGAGTAAATGAGCATAACCACGCTCGTTCTTCCTTCCCTGTCCCTCCCCGCGTAATTCTCTCTTCTCGCCATCCGCTTGTCCCCCGTCTCTGTCTCGCTTCGACGT